TACAGTTTCAGAAACCCTGTATTGCGTTTTAATAATTAGGAATCAACTCGATGGGGGTGAGTTTGGTTTGAGTTTTAGATGAAGACTGTGGTGACTATTTTAATAGGTACGATATTCCATGCAATATTCTCATCATGTACTGAGATTTGGACTTCACATCTGGTAGATTTATTTGTAAAACGTGTAGAATTGACCTCACTTGATGGATGCCTATTCTCTAGGGCGACCCAGGTCCGCAAGGCATCTCAGGGAAAGATGGACCAGCAGGACTACGTGGTTTCCCTGGTGAAAGAGGGCTTCCTGGGGCTCAGGTAAGTACAATCAATTTACACATAAAAACATTCTCAATGGAATCAATTTTATCAGATTCTAACTACAGAATAATGTATTCATAATTTTAAAAAGCATACACATACCTTTGGTTATTACAATATACATAGCAGTATGTAATTGTGTCTAAGAACACTTTCTGGCATCTTCAATTATACAATTCCTTCTATTTACAATTAATTTCCATAGATTCATCTTCTTCCTTTCCCTCTCTCTCTCCTTCTCCACCTCCCCTAGGGTGCAGCGGGTCTGAAAGGAGGGGAAGGTCCTCAGGGCCCACCAGGTCCAATTGTAAGTACGAGGATAAGAAAGAGCCCTGCTCTCCACGCTAGAAAATGATGTCCTTTCTTTCATTACAAACATGCTGTGTGCCCACAATAGGTGGAAGAGAAAATAAACAATGTCAATCAAATCAGCCAATGCCCAGTTTCTACTAATTGCATGCACTAATGAGTGTAGAAACAGAAGGGTTCAGACAAATGGAAATATTTGCTTCACTGCTGCTGTTAGGAGGTAAAAGAGGCTTTCTTGTCTCTTACACTACCCTAGGAAATAAATCATAATTATGAGTAACGGAAACTCATAGTTACAGAAGACCTGGAGAGTTTAAATTATAATTTTTAATGCGTACTAACTGAATCCATTAATCTCTATCATTTGAAAATTAATCATGGAAAATATTTTATTTCATACATATTCCATTCTATCATTATTTAATATTTAACAGGCTTAATTTATCTGATTCTTAGTTCTTTATATTTGAGTGACTTAAACATTTAGTGACCTAAAACATTTTCCTAAGTTTGGAGGGCATACAAGTGCTTCCAAATGTTTGTGGAAAAATTGAATGAAAAGATGATGAAATATTTCCACCAACTCCTTTAAGGCCCCCTCGTATATCCATTGAATAGATCATCCAGGTGGCTTTATTAAATCGATATAAACATACTAAATAACTGGTAGAGGAGTACATTTTTGTGTGAAATTTTATTTTTTTGTATATCAATCTCTCAGTAAGTACTTCCTAGAATCTTCATTTTCCTCACAGACCCACTTCTGTTGAATTTAGCAAACTCAATTATTTTGTGGCCTGTCTTTATTCAGATCCTGTAAGGGGTAAAAATTGCCCCAAATCCTCTCTCAGCTTCCGCACACAGCATGTTTAATTTAATCATATTAATTCTGCTTACAAAATGTTACTCTCATTTAATCTGGTTTTTTTTTTCCTTTCCACTACCAATTTTGTTAACAAATTTGCCCTTAGGACACTTAAAATAGGCTTGTGCATTGGGTCACTCTGAATCAGAACCGACTAGATGGCAATGACAATAACAAAAACAGAAAACAGCTATTAAACAGAACTGCATACATGAAAAAAATAACACTCCAGTGCTATTTATGGGGAAAAACACTTACAAAAAAGGTGGTTAAATGTATCATGCCATCTAAATATTAATTGTTTGGGGGAAAGAAGCGAATTCCGGGAAAGGATCATGCAGATGTGACCCTTGCACTCTGACCCATGAAGTATAAAAACAAACAACAACAACCGCCAGACACACTACCAACCAGTCGCTGCTGCCCTCTTCCTCCCTTGGAAGAGTGCGTGGTTTGGAGCTGTTGATCTTGCGCTTGGCCAGCCAGTGAGTAACCACTAAGCCACCAGGCCTCCTTCATGAAGTTTAAAACTATTTCAGAACACGTATGTAAAGAAAATTGTGATACATAGGGAATGAGTAAAGGATCTCTGGTGATTTAATGGGTTACATGTCAAGATTTATAGCTTCAAAACCCACTTGAGCAGTTCTGTTCTGTCCTATAGGATTGTTAGAGTTAAAATCGATGTGATGGCAAGGAGTTTAGTTGTTACTGCTGTTGTTGTTGTTGGTGGTGGTGGTGGTGGTGGTGGTGGTGTGTGTGTGTGTGTGTGTGAGGGACTAACTGGTTTTACCTCAAAGAGCAAACTTTGGGTACAGGACTAGCAAATTTTCTGTGTTTTCAAACAAGTAACCTTAAATCAGTAGTTATAATACTGTTTATGATTATAAAGTTATCGAATAGACAACTGAAGTCATTTAAAGATGTGAAGTTTTTGAAACAATTGAAATACAATAATTTCACTATTATTGTTAGATATTACCATCAGTGTGTGAAATATATACGACAGAAGGGGGGGCGAAAGAAGCGTAAAATCGCAATAGCCGGTGTGAAAATACAAAAGGAAGCCATTGAATGAGCCATGGAGAGCAGGGCAGTGCGAGTGCAGCACACAGTGGGATAGCATGGTTGTGAAGATATGGAAAGTAGGCAGTGAGGTGAGATGAAGCCCGAGTAATGACCACAGACTTGTGTTTCTGTGTGAACGAACATTTTATGATGCCTTCCATGCCTGAAATAGTTTTACCTGCTTCGGGAAAAACAATAAAAGTAACAACAGTAAGAACAAATAAAGGAACCACCCAAAGAAAAGTAAAAAATAAGACACAGCCTCTCCTCAGTCACAAAGCCTCTTAAAAGACTTTTACCCTTTCCTATCAGAAACGATCCACACAGGCTTACTGTGAGTTTATTTATTTAGATTTAGCGTCTGCTCCTGGTTCAATTAACATATCTAAATGTGAAGTCATAAAATCTCTCTCAAAGTTGATAGAGTAGGAACACTGAAAAGTAAAAACATAACCTTCATTTTGCATTTCTAAACTTAGTGCTGTGATTACTATAAAATATAGCAAACAATTTCATGACGATTACTGCTAGTCTATAATAAATGCAACACATTGAATCCATTGACAGCAATTTCACACGTTAAGTTTGATTGAACAATATTTTTATTCTAGTGAATAATATTAAACCACAAAAACTCTTGACTTTACAAATAGAAACAGTAACATAAGGCAATTAGTTCATTCTGAGTTTATATTTTATTATATTTGTTGAGGTTTAAGATGTTTTATGGGTGATTGTTATTGATAATAACAGGAAGAAATCAGTAGTGTTGGCAGCTTTGGTAAGAAAGACAAGTTCAGTTTTGCAAAATGTATCTAAAAGATGACATTAGAATGAATATTCAGTAAGTTTGTGATAGATGTAGAAATTGGATGACTAATGAGATAAAAAATAAAATTCTCCTGCAAACCTTCTCGGCTCCATCCTAGACCGATCTGAATTTGCAGGCATCTCATGGTAACTTTGGGATTTTGACTAAGTGATGGACAATACAAGAGTGAAGGTAATAAGCACAGGGAAGGATAATGATTCCTGAGCTGTTGAGATTAAGGAGAATATGAAAGTGAGGGGATCTCAAAGTAAGAGTACATGAAGATACTATGAAGAGTAAAAGAAAAAAATTATTTCTTCCTATTTGATTTTCAGAAACTAGCATGGTAGTTGTTATTTCAATAAAGGCAAGGGCATTGAGGATTAGAGGCAAGAAAGAATTTGCTGAAGTTCGTAGTCTATTTTCTGAAGGTAGAATACATACTCACGTGTTACATATGCTCAAATTAATTTCCAGATATTAAGGTCACTCACTCCCTAATCATCTACCTGATTAAGTTATTTCATTATTAATATTATTAATATTAACATTATTGCACTTTTACAACTCCTCTTGACTCCACCCTAAAGTAGAACAACTGTGAAAAGGAAGAGAGGTGAGAAAGAAGACAAGATGAGAGAGAAGGAGGCAGAGAAGGAGGTGGGAGGAAAGGACAGACAAACCTGTTGCTATGAGTAAATTTTGACTCAGTGTGATATCATGTGTGTGAATGTCTCTGCATAGTACTTTAAGTGAATTTAATATTACTGAAGTATATCTTCAGGCCTTCCTTCTACAGTGCTGCTGAGTAGATATGAACTGCCAAATTTTATGATATTTGCAAATTCCAAATCTTCTGGCCACAAAGGAATCTGTAGAGGAAAAAATATTACAGCTGTCTGTGTTCTAATGGGAATTGGTGCAAATCAGGAAAAAAAAATCCTTTAAAAAATATTTAACCTGTATGCATATTTATATTTATTTAATCAGTATGCTGAACACATATTTCAAGGAACTGTACTATATGAATGCCATATCAGGGCTAGGAGCAGACTACTTAACAGCCTGAAATATTCAGAGGACAATACTTTATTGAAAGTGAAAAAGCTGAATGAAAATGAAGACTTGAGTATTTACTAATGAAGATCAAAGACTACAGCCTTCAGTATGAATTACACCTCAACATCAACCCAAAATCCTCATACTGAATATACTGAACCTATAAGGAAATCTATGATAAGCAGAGCAAAGATTACAGTTTCCAAAGATTTCCTTGACTCCACAATCAATGCCCATGGAAACAGCAGTCAAGAAATCAAGTGACTTATATTGAGCCATTCTGTTGCTGAAGACATTTTATAATGTCAAAGGGCAAAGTCGTCGCTTTGAAGACTAAGGTGTGCCTGAACCAGCCCATGGTTTCTCACTACCCTCGTCTGCATGTAGAAGCTAGATCATGAAGGAGGAAGACAGAAAAATAACTGATGACTTTGAAATATGTTGTTGGCAACGGATAGTGCGTATATTATGGACTGCCAGAATAAAACAAATCTTTGTAGCAAGAAGTAAGTGAGAATGGTAAAAGAGTGCCTCATGGCCTTTGAACGTGTTCTTAGGAGTGACCAGCCCCTGAAGAAGGATCCCTATGAATTGGAAACAAACTGATGACAGTGAACTGTTTGAACCTTTGTTTGCTATTGATTAGAATAATGATCAAGTCACATCTTGCTTTGCGTTTATCCAGATTAGTGAAGAAATAATACATTCCTAGGAAAAAGTAATTAAAGGAAGAACAATATTTCTTACCACTGCCATTGAGTTGAGTGTTATTTCACCCTATAGAACAGATAACAGAACTGTGCCTTTGGGTTTCTGAAGCTATAAATCTTTACAGGAGCAGAAAGTCTAATCTTTTTGCTTTGGTGAGTCTGAACTTCCAACGTGATTAGCAGCAGAGCTAGTAGCCCACTATGCCCCCAGAATCACATTTAATTGGATTCACAACACATTCAGTAGAATATCATCCTACATTAATTTAAAAAAAGCTTTAGTGTATAGGATTCATTTTTGACTGCTAAGAATATTAATGGCATTTTCTGAAAGTTAGTAATTTTGAACTTCAGAAAATAGAGATGATACTTAAATTTTTTTCTGGCCTGCCTATTTATCATGTATATTTTCTCACCCTTCCTGTAGGAGCTCTGGTGACATACTGGTCATGAGTTGGGCTGCTTAACTTCAAGGTTAGCAGCTA